TCAATAATAAAAACTAGAAAATCTGTATTTTCTTAAATAAATTTCATGGTAGAAAAAAAAAGATTGAAATTGTTCCTATAGCATTTCTTTTAAATCTGCACATATAGAAGTCTGCATGAATGAACTCATATAGTACATGTTGTAGTTTCAATGCAGCCTTTCATAAATTATACTGACATATTTTGCTTTGTTCTCTAATATATTATGAAAGATGTCCTCTCCTCTAACATATAATTACTGAAAAATTCAAAAGGTGAAAGGGTAGAGTTGAAAATTAAAGACCTTTTGATCTCTTCCATCCATTAGTCTTCCACAAAATAAAAATAGCTTCAATTATAGCAGAATCTTTCAAAAATGTATGCAAATTGCAATACAGAATAATCTGATCTTATTAGAACATCTATGGAGAAACTTATAGCCCCACATTTCCAAAAAGTTGGGAACTGAAGTTAGAAGGCAATGTTTTTATATAAAACACTAGTGCTTTGGAACAGCCTCATGGTGGAGATCAAGTTTCTTGCTGGTTTTTAGTAAAACATTAAGGATCAAACTATTTTGTATAGTACTTTCTTAAGTTTATATATAAACTTTTACTCCTTTTTACTCTTTTTGCCCATTTCCTCCCCTTATTGTTTATAAATAAATGTTTATTTTTATATAAATTAAAAGCATTTTTCTTTACACTTTTTTTGCATTTTGTTCAGAATTTTAATCACAGCATGGGTGTTTAAATGGTTTTATATTCTATGTATACCACTGACAGTAATTTTGACTATAGTGGTAAAGAAATTGATAAATTTAGGCAGTGAAATTTTATGCTACTAGTTGGATACGCATTCCTCACAACGAAACTATGTGATCGGACTATGCAGGCTTTCCTTCTTTCCTCATTTCCCTTCCCATCCACCTTTCCTTTCCTCTTTTCCCTTCCTTTCCTTTCCTTCCTTTCTCTTTTCCCTTCCCTTCCTCTTTTCCTTTCCTTCTTTCCTCCTTCCCTTCTTTCTTTCTGTCCTCCTTTCCTTCTTTCTTTCTGTCTTCCTTTCCTTTCCTCCCTTCCCTTGCTTTTCTTTCCTTCTTTATTCCTTTCTTTTTCCTTCCCTTCCTTTTCTTTTCTTCTTTCCTCTTTTCCTTTCCTTTCTCCTTTCCATTTCTTTCCAATTTGTCTACCTATCTTATCTATCTATCTTATCTATCTATCTATCTATCTATCTATCTATCTATCTATCTATCTATC